ACGCCAACACATTTTCCAGAAAATGCAATATGAACGGAACATCCCATAAATTTAAGATCAATCATGTAATCATTCTTTCACTAATTTAATCAATCAAAAACACGTATTTTCACACAGAAACACAACATACATCATCAATTTCATGAGCTCACATCTTATTTAACAATACCTAATCCCTAATGAAAACTTAACCCAAAGAGACATTACAAGAGACTTAAACTCAATTATCGATCAAAACCCCAATTTTTAACGAATAATACAAGAAACACGATCATAAATTAATACAGAACCTAATTAAATTGTCAATTCCAACATCATAATAGAATTTGGGGAAATCTTATGAATTTAAGGATTTCTTCCACTACTCATTCTCTTTTGCAATCTCACACATGAATCACTCATTTCCCTCCCCATACCTTATCGTGTCGATGAGATTAGTCTGATGTCGTTTGAGATGACTCTGAGCACTTCTCCTCAGAGCTCCTTCCTTCTCTTCCCTTTTCTCTCTTAATCCTTCAGAGCACAAAATGAAGCAGATGTGTCAACTCTCTTAAAAGCTCACTAAAACAGATCAAAATCCAACCCATTTCCCTTCTCTCGTTAAATTAAATAAATAAATATTATATAATAATTCCCCTCTTGTAAAAATAAACAATATTTTTTACTATAATACAATAATACTAATAATATTATTATTTTTTTTAAAAATATGGTGTTACACATGTTTACCTAATCTTACTATTTTCAATAACTCATGTTTTATATCAAACTTTTTTTATACATCGTTTCATTAATTCAAATCAATGTTTAAAATATTTTTATAATTATTCATCAATTTGAATTAATGAAATAGAGTATAAAATAATTTTCAAAATTTTTAACATACTTGATATATGCATTAAAAAATTTTAATTTAACAATTAAATCATTAAAATTTGATGTAGAACATAAGTTATGAAGTGAAATAAGTCTAAGTGTTATAATTTAATATTCAAAATAGTTAATTGAAGAATATAATAGTATCATTCACATAATTTTAATTATTATGGAATTTTTATAACTCATTTGTCTAGCTACATATAATAAGATGTTTTTATTTTTGTATGATATTATGTATTCTTCAATTAAATTCTTTTGACTAGAAGTAGAATAACCATTTTTTTTTGTAACATTACAATAATTTATAAATATGATTTTATTTGTCTAATATAAAATTTTACATTATATTTATTCCTTTGTACATATTTTTATTTTATTGTTTTATTCTCATTTGACATAAAAATATTTAACCAATATTTATTTCACAAGTAATTAATAAAATAAAACTCTTGTTCATATGCACATTTTTTTTTTTTTGAACGACAAATGTTAATGGTTAGTTTGTTAGTTGTTTTTGGGGAGATTTGAACCCACACCCTCTTACTAGTTTTAAAATAATACAAGAATGTGTCTTATATTATGTTTTTTTTACCCTCCCTTTAATTTTATAATTTGAATTCAGTGTTCTAAATTTTTTAATTGTTGTTAATTTTTTTTATTACTTTTGTTTATATTTTGATTTTTTTTAATTACTTTTCATTCTTAATCATTCTTAACAAGAGTTTCTCTCTTTTTCATATAATATTTATGATTTTATTTTCAAACATATAATAATAATAATAATTATTTTTTAAACAAATTGTCCTCACTGACACAAATTCCTACCTATGTTAATGTCTAGACCTATATCTAAGTAAAAGAATCAATTCCACACATATTAAAAAAATTATTAAATATATTTAATTTTTCTATTTCACATTAAATATGCATTTTATTGTGTTATTATTTATTATTATAAGAATATTTTTTTGAATTAAGAGTATCAAATAAAAAAAAAATCACTCATTGAAATGTACATAAATTTTAGTCTAATAAAAATCTAAACATTTTTAATATATAAATATTATTAAGAAAAAATTGTCTTGTTACACTTCATTACACTTTCTTTCTTTTCCTTTCTCTTATTTTCTGCATAGCACGTAAGAATTCTGTCTTGTGTATGCAGTCGCGTTAAATCTTGGAATCAGTTATTTCATTTTTAAAGTGTCTTTAACGTAACGAGGAGATTAATTACTATTATCGATACCAGGAAAAAAAAACATAGAACTTAAAATTTTAATATAACCATGTGCTTTTATTTCAATAGATTGTTCTTAACGCCATGGGAAACATCAGAACTAATGTACAATACAATGTCAATGATGAGTGTTTATTACCGATGTCATGCGTTGTTTTTGGGCTTTCGGGAGAAGTTCCTCGAACGATTCGCCCACAACAGCAACATTCCACCACAATAATGATAAGCATTTTTCTATTTTCTAGAAGCAAAAGCAATTCGGTTGGTAGATCAAAGGATGACTTGTCAAGTATTGTGTGCTACACTTTACCTAAATAAATAAATATTTTAATTAATTAAATGTAATAAATAAATAATTTTAATCTGTAAATATTATATGATGTATTTAATTAATTTTACTCTTTAATTCCTTAAGAGATAAGATTCAACAAATATTTAAAATTCTGTTAAAAAAATATTTAAAATAACCACAGATTTTATAGTATATTTTAGAGAAGTAGATATAAAAAAATTTGAAAATAACAAATGATGCCATATAGTTTTTCAAGTCATTATAAAATTTAAATAATTTTTAATTACAAGATAACTAATAATTAAAATATAATATAAAACGTTCATACTATCAATTTATTTCAATTAAATTTAAAAATGCTTAATTGTGCATTTCATTTATTTAGTATAGTTATTTTTCTATGAACTTGATTCTTTATTTTTTTTTGTTTTTCAAATTTGATCATCAACTATTTAATGTATTTGGTATCTTCACATGAAATATTTAACATAAGCGATGATATGATAATGCAGTAAACTATCACATCAATATACTAATGTTGTTTGAGTAGAAAATCTTAAGTTTTGATATTGTGGATGAAAAAATAATTATTAAAAAATAAAATCATACTAAATTTGATTGGTAAAGTAATTTGATAAGGATTAGTTATCAATAAATCTCTTTATTAATAATATGATTATCATAATCAATTTTCTTATGATTAATTATTATTAATGTTAGAGAATCTGATTGATTATTTTAGAGTTATCTTTTTTTTTAATCACATTTTTTTATATACAAGACTTAAATTTAATATCTTACCTAAAAAATCAAATTCACTACCACTTAGACCAATTATATGTAGTTGATGCTTATTTTTTTTCTATAACAATTAACATGGTTGTAATTTAAGATATATAATTATAGAGGTTTTTTTACAAAGTTCAATTTTTTTCTTATTTTTGCTTTATTTTTTAATTTAAATTAATTAGATTTAATTGATTGATTTATTGTCCAACTTGTAATAAATCGAGGCAAATCAAGTGATTTACTTTAATTTTAATGTTTAAGGAAGTTAATTATTTTTAAATTATAACGAAATTGAAAAATGAAAATGACTAATTAGAAGGAATTGAGTGTGCAAATTGATAAATCATAAATGAATGAGTAGATAAGGTAAAAATAAAAATAATAATAATAATAATAATAATAATAATAATAATAATAATAATAATAATAATAATAATAATAATAATAATAATAATAATAATAATAATAATAATAATAATAATAATAATAATAATAATAATAATAATAATAATAATAATAATAATAATAATAATAATAATAATAATAATAATAATAATAATAATAATAATAATAATAATAATAATAATAATAATAATAATAATAATAATAATAATAATAATAATAATAATAATAATAATAATAATAATAATAATAATAATAATAATAAAAAAGTAATAACAAGGCAAAGAAGCAAGTTTTGGTCTGATAGAAAGCGATGGGATCTGAAAGTGGACCCAAATGGCAAATTGGTTGGCTCTTTTCTTCCTATAAAACAAATGATACAAAACTCTTCACTGTTCACAGATACACCGCTGTGCCTCGCCGCTGCTGATTTCTTCCCCAAACGGTATCCCAATTTCAGATTCCCAGATTCCTGTTCCATTCATTCATTCATTCATACAAACCTTTCGATTCCAATTGGAACCCACTCACAACACAACAACAACAACAAAAACAGAAAACCAAAATCAACTCTCCCAAACCCTGAGAATCTCTCACGCAAGGTGAGTTTTAAGTCAACTACTCTTACTCTTCATAATTTCTTGTTCCACTTTTTCTCTTTTAGGTTCCAATTTCTTGCGTCTTACTTTTCTCCTCTTAATCGAATCTCAATTTCGTCTTTCTTTCCTTGAGAATTTTCAATTGTTCTGCTTTCTGCTCTGCTGTACGCCTATTCAATACAATTTTTTAATGTGTTTTCTTTATGTCATTTATCATGATTATATGCTCTGCCAAACAAGGTTTTAGGTAGATTCCAAACGTACTTATTCATTCTCCAATAACTTGATACATTTGGGAAGTTATTCTTTCCTAGGAAATAATAGGGTTGGGGTATTAATCCAGAGAAATCTGGGTGATCATAATAAGATAGTTTTTAATTTTTTAATTTACCATCTTTCCTTGAAAACCGGATGCGAGACACCATTGAGAAATGGTTTTGGGAGTTTATTTGGATGGTAGGAGTTAGAGTGCACAGTATTTAGAGGCATTTTTGTTGCTATTAAGCACAAAGAGTTGAAAGTTTCAGGAATTCCCTGCTATTTCAGAGCTCTTTATCCTCTTACCCCAGCCAGTTCTGTATTTTTTTATTATTATTTTTTTGTCGTTTCTGTTCTCAGCTAGTAAAGCCATTTATTTTATATTTTTTACTTTTAATTGCAAAATTCTACCTTATTTTCATTTCATTTTTTGTTTTCATGAAAATATAAAATAAAACAGAAAACAATAAAAAAGTGTTTTAGATACGGAAAATAATATAAATATAAATAAGGTAGTATTTTTTTTTAATTAAAAAGAGAAATGAAAACAAAATTTGTCCTCTCAATTTGGCAGAAATATGCTTTTGTTTCTGAATCGTATGTGCAACATAGTGAATTGATGCATTATGGTGTGGTTTGAAATTTTACTGGGTCCATGGATGATGATATGATTTGGCATTTCATATTCTTTGGCAAGGTGTTAGGCTAATAAATTCGAATTTACTGCTTCCAAGTTTTTAGACTACTGTACCATCCATCATTCTGCAATTAAAAGGATTCGGTACTTAATCTCGGTCTGGTTCCTCTGCCACTTGGGGATGTCTCTGTGGAAAGGAATACTGAATTTTACTTCTTTGGAAAAGCATCTTTTTCCACTCATTTGTAATTATTATTATACAATTATTGTAATTCATCATATTACTATATATATAACTGCAGTATCCAACAAGTTTGTGAGTCACTAAAGCTGGAAGGTCATGTTAGCAATTTAACAGGTCACTTTAAAAATAGGATCCAGCTTACTGGGTTTACTGAGTTTTAAAATTGAATTTTCTTTTTTTTTTCTGTCTTTTTACTATTTCAGTTAATATAGGATTACCCAACTTATATAGAGGATAATTTATAACTGAGTGACTGATCTTATATTTCTGTTTTCTGGATTTTTTAATATAAGATACTTCTCATTTAGCAGGTGGTTAGAAAACATTTAATATACCCTATGAAATACAGAACTTTTAGTTAGTACTTAACATAAGCATTAAATGATTTTTGTATTTTGATATAATAAATACTTTCAGTGTTGATAAATAATTTATACTTTTAATATGAATTTATGTTATTGTTATTAATACTTGTCGGAACTGGGGATTATCAAAATAACATTACGGTACATTATTGCAGAAGGGAAGTTTTTCAACAGTTTCTTGAAGAAGATGGAGGTTTGCGGGTCAATCAAATCTGAAAGTAGTTTAAAGCACCGCCCTCTGACCCCTATTAGGTTGTTAAGGGGTCTGATATGTTTAGTGGTGTTTCTGTCTACAGCTTTTATGTGTTTAGTCTATTTTACGCCGGTGGCAGTTGTAGGATTGCGGCTTTTCAGCATACGTTGTAGCAGGAAGACAGTGTCATTCATCTTTGGACTTTGGCTATCTCTTTGGCCTTTTCTATTCGAAAAGATAAACAAAACTAAAGTTGTCTTTTCTGGAGACAGTATTCCAATGAAGGAACGTGTTTTACTAATTGCAAATCACAGAACTGAGGTTGATTGGATGTACTTGTGGGATCTTGCACTTAGAAAGGGAAGACTGGGATGCATAAAATACATCCTTAAGAGCAGTCTGATGAAACTACCTATTTTTGGTTGGGGATTTCACATTCTGGAGTTCATTGCAGTGGAGAGGAAGTGGGAGATAGATGAGCAAATATTGCACCAAAAGCTTTCAACCTTAAAGGATCCTCAAGATCCCTTATGGCTAGCTATTTTTCCTGAAGGAACCGATTATACGTACTACCTGATATCCCTCTTATCTTGGATCCTGTCTTTTAATTTTCAAGTCCTTTTATCATCATTTGATAATAATATTAAGTTATTAACTAATTTCAATTTCACAAATTACTTTATTTGGTTTTTTATCTTTATGAATTTGATATTTTATTTTGTCTAGCATGCTAAAATTTGGGAATCATATTATACCATACAAAAAATATTAAGATACACATTTGACAGGTTTGTTTTTTATTATGTAGTGATAAGAAGAGTAAAAATAGTCAAAAATTTGCTGCTGAAGCTGGACTCCCTGTACTCACAAATGTATTACTTCCAAAAACAAAGGGGTTTCATGCTTGCTTGAAAGCTCTACGAGACTCATTGGATGCAGGTTTCTTTTATTATTTCCTTTTATTATTTCAACTCTTTTTTTTTTAAGATACTAAGATCATTTCATAGTGACTTTATTGTGCCTATTTATGAAATTATGTAATCTGTGTTATAAAATACAAACTGACTGTGTTTTTGAAAATTATAATTTTTCTATCACTGCAGCATTTTATGTGTGCATCTTTGTACATGAATCTATACTAATAATAAAAGGGATTCACTCTTTTAGTGTTCACTATTATCTTTTTTATTTTATTTTTAATAATTATATATAACCTTTAATAATCATACAAATTATTAAACAAATTTATTATTTTTTCTCTTTTTAAACTTTGTCTTTTTTCACACTAATATATATAATATTAGTTTATCCAAAATTATTAGGTGATTTTAAATTATATAATTCTTAATAATTTACTATATAACATGTATTTAAGTATTGTTTATTTTTTTAAAATTAAAAAACTTGAATATGTCATAATGTAAAAATCCATTGAAACTATGAACACCAAATGATTCTTAATTTACTAATAATTTTCAAATCTGCTCATACATACAGTGTACGATGTGACAATTGCATACAAGAATCAGTGTCCTTCCTTTCTGGACAATGTTTTTGGTATTGACCCTTCAGAAGTGCACATGCATGTTCGGCGTATTCCTGTGGAGAAGATTCCGACCTCTGAAACCAACGCTGGTTCTTGGTTAATGAATACATTCCAGATCAAGGACCAACTGCTTTCAGATTTTAAGATTCAAGGCCATTTCCCTAACCAACTAAATGAGAATGAGATTTCTACATTTAAGAGCTTACTTACTGTTACCTTGGTAGTTTCGGTTACTGTCATGTTTATTTATTTTACATTTTTCTCTCTCTTTTGGTTTAAACTGTATGTAGGTCTATCTTGTGCATATCTTGCTGTTGCAACGTGCTTCAATTTTCAATTGATGCCTTTATCTAACTATGTTCATGCACTCCATAACAAGAAGACACAAAAGAGTGTATAGTGCTCTCAATTTTGTCAATGTATGATCTTGGTCTTGAACTTCAAATTGAAGTGCAAATTATTTGTTGGGTTTTTTCTTTCACAGTTTTGGTCACCAGGAAATCAAAAGTAACATTTTACAACCGAGATTTTGCAGGACTTTTCAAAGCTAAGATTTTTAGATGACTAGTGTGTCATACTTTTTTTTTCAATTTTGAATATAAGTAAAAAAAAAATTCATGGTTGTATTTTTAATCTTCTTTTTTAGTTTCAAATATAAACAAATATTAACTAATTTTACTGTATTAAATATTATTTTTTAAATATCATTTCATTTAATTCAAATTATATTTTAATAATTTTTTTTTCTATTTTTCAACATCAAGTTTTAAAGAAGCTATCAGGAAAATAAATTATGTTTTAGATGAGATTAACAAAATCAAATTATAGAAATTATCTTTTTTAGTTAGTATAAATCAATTTTTATTTGTTTATTTTTACTAATATTCATACTAAAAAAAATAATGTACAAGCCAAGTAAAAAAAAATGAATAAAAATTTAATGTGACTTGTCATGCCGTCAGCATTTAATTCACATTTAATGCTTTGCAGCGGTTATATTACATGATATGATTTTAGAGAACAGAAAATTGAAAGGAAAAAAATTAGTATATGCAATATTTTAAGAATGAAAAGTGTATAAAAAAAAAATTATATCAAACTTTTTATATATATGTAACAAAATTAATGATTTTCCATTTCAATAAATTTATATCTCTAATAGTCCTATACAAATTTAAAGAGTTCAACACTTTTAATTTGGAACGAGCAATACAAGTAGTAAAATAAAGTGAAATATAATAAAAAAATATTTTAACTCTTTTAAAATGGAAAATGTATTTTAAAAAATAAAATATATTTATAATTATTATAAATAAAATCAACTATTAATAATTATAATAAAATTATATTCTTATAGAATAAAATATAATTTATTATAATATCAAATCGTTAATTTATAATTATTATAACATTTTATTCTTTAAAGTGAAGTATAATTCTCTCATTTTAAAAAATTAAATTTGATAAAAAAAATATTAAAAAATATTAATTAATAAAGAGTCAATAGGTAAAATCTTAACGATTACATATAAATCATAACATTAGGTTCAATCATTTAACATAAAATAAAATATATTTAACTAGAAAGGTAGAAAAAAGAACATAACAAACAAACAAGCATATGAATTAATAGTATGATATAATTACATATGGATACATAGCGTATTTTTTCTTAGTTTAATATATAAAAGTTTATATCGTACAATTAATAATCAAAATTAATGCATTAAGATCTTTATAGAACTTTCATTATAAATTTTAAAAGCAAAGTGTTTAATTTGGAACAAAGACCACCATACCAACCTTTTTGCATTGCCATGATTTGTTCTCTTTATGCCGACTTCAATTCTCCAGCAAGTAATGATACGTTGATGTCTTTTGTTTTTTTACATATATAAATATTTTGTATGTCAGACACTGTATCAACGTTTGTTATTAATTTTCTTAATTAACTCATGCCATATATTTTCCATTTCCAGCTTAATTGTTGCAGAGCTACAACTTGCTTGATCCTGTCAAGTATCATGTTTTGTTTTCAGCTCCAGATCCAACCCCCACATGGTGGAAGAGGACAAATTTTGATGGGTTAATGCTATTTATTGAATGCGTGGACCAAAAGATAGAATAAGGCAAGCTATTGAATATGTTATTATTGAAATGTTTATCAAATTTTACAAATAATTTCGAGCAATTTTAATGGGAGTTGCTTGTCCCATGAAGCAACTCAAGTCCTAATTTTTTATTATTGGAAGACTCTGACGTGGCAACATGAGTTGCTTCCTCAAGCAACCGTTCCTTACCAGATTTCAAACAAATCTTATTGAACATATTTGGGAATATTTCGAAAATAATAATGATAAAAATTAATTTCGTTTAATGTTCATGTATTTATTATTATTTTATTTTATTTTTAATATCTACTTATTGTGTATTTTTTCTCGTAATTTATTTTCTCATTATAGTACAATTACCATTTTTAATAAAAATTTAAAATTAGTTCATAATTGATTAGAAAAAAAAATTCTAAAAGTTGAATTTCTTAAAATTTCTTGTCATCGGAATAAATTTGTGTTTGAATTACTTAATACTAATATGTACACTCGAGATCACTTTTTTTAATTTTTCAATGCATGAAACAACTCAAATGAGTTGCTTCTATTGGAGATGCCTTCATATCTCTACCTACTAAGCAATTAATTTTTTGACTGTCCATCAGATCTGCTATTCATATCATCCCAAATAAATAAATGTAAACCTTAAGGTTTGAGTCTTTTTCTCTAAGAGCGTTCATTAGGAGATTAGACATCATATCAGCAGTATTTTGAGTTTCAGACGGACTAAGGAGTTGGGTGAAGTACCTCGAGGTTTTTCTAATTTACCAAAAAAGTTAAAAAGCAGTTTTTCCAAGAAATCCTTTATAAGACTAATCAACGTCTTTGCAATTGGAAAGTTTGATCCGTGTCCTTTGCTAGCATATTTATGCTCACATTGTTACTTGTGTTTAAAAGTTTTCTATGTGAAGATGGTGATTGGGATGTGTTGAAGATTGGAATTGGATTAAGCCTAAAAAAATGAAAATCACTCTATGGAAAATAACGCATTCAACTCTCATGACTAATGTTGAATGTCACAGGGGAGGTTTTACCCGAGGTGTAAATTGTCTCATTTGTAATCAAGTTGCAAAAGATGTTCTTCATGTTTTTAGGGACTGTGAATTTGGAATATGGTTACTAAGAATTAGAGCTATTCTCTTTTCTTTGGTGGTCAAATCATTCCTTGGATTTTGAATAATATCGTTTGCAACTCTACTGCTTTGGCTGATTGGAGTTTAATGTTTGTCTGCACCTTAGATTGCATTTAGAAGAAAAGAAATGATAAAGTTTTCAATAACTCTCTTGCCAGTGTTTTGGATGATGTTGACAGAATCAACAAACATATTTACCTTGTTTCTCATATCAAGTCTACAATTCATCCATCTACTAACAGAGACTTGAACAAGATCAAAGTTAATGTAGATGATGCGTTTTCTCCAATAGACAATAAAGCTGACTATGTCAGAGTATTGAAGAATCGTAATGCAATTTTTATTTGTGCGTTTTCTTCTAAGAATCTAAGCTTTAGAGTCTCTCTTTCCTTGTAAACATGTTTATTTTGGAAATTTTCTAATGTATATTAGGAGTCTAATTCTCGACTTGTTTTTTTAAGACTAAATCAAATATTATTAATGAGAAAAAAAAAAAGTTGAATACAGTCATAAGGTGAATTATACCAAAATTAAAAATATAGTAATAGTAATTATAGAAATTGGTCTATCAATATATATGATAATTCAAGTCTAACTTCAACAATAACAATCTAAGTCCAAAATAAAAATAATGAAAATACTAAAATAATATAAACCAGCAATGTCTCAATAATAAAACAAAATCAATAAGATTCTAAAGTAGATTCATCTTCCTTCATAAAAATAACTAACAACAATATACAATTAAGATATACATGTTGCTATCACAAATAAAGTTGAACCTGCTCATGGTATGGAGAAAAAAGTAACGGTAGAGTATTTAGCACGAATCCAATACCATCACTTGTAGATTGTAACAGCCTGATTTTCACAAATTGTGCGAAGGCCCAAAAGCTCAATATGGGTGATTTAGTAGCCCAAAACGGGTCGTTCCCAAACTGGAATGGGTCATTTCAAACTACTAAAAAGACCTATTTTTGGTAGCCCAGAACGGGCCGTTCCCAAATTGGAACGGGCCATTCCAAACTACCAAAATGGCCTATAACCCTAGTTGGGAACGGGCCATTCCAAATATGGCCGTTATGGGTTAAAATGCAACCCCAGAACGAGTCGTTCTAGTTTGAGAACGGGTCGTTCTGGATGTAAAATTTTACACATGCTGTCAGAGTCCAGAACGGTCCGTTCCGGATTTGAAAGGGGCTGTTTTGGCGACGCCTGATGCCTATAAATAGAGCGCTCTAGCACTCCCAAAAAGCACACTTTTCAGTTCTGACTTCTTTCAGTTCTGACTTCTTTTCCTTCTACATTCTCCAAAGACCGAGGGGAACCTAAAGGAGGAGATCACCCAGATCCTGCTATAGTTTCAGCTACTGTTTATCGAGGTACGGGGGATAAAGGGAATTACTTATATGTACGGTTACATGAGAGAATTGGGTAGAGGAGGAATCCCGTAAGATTATGGATAATTTTATAATTATTTCTGTTTGAGAAATTGATGATCCCGTTAGACTTTACATATATTGAGAATTAGGAATATGCCAATAATTTGTAAAAATGTTGATATGAGAAAGAGAACGAGATTGTAGAAAAGTGCCTGTGAGTTAGGTTTTGGAAAAATTGGGGGTTTTACTATTTGGGTTAAAATTCTGCTAAATTGATGATTTCATCGAGTTTTATATTAATTTATAAATGTGATTGTTATATTATTTGGTAAAATTGATGATCTAGATATGGAATGTGGTGTGATGCCTTCGTACATACATTATATCTACTGTCTTATTATTGAATTGATAACATGATGTGAGTATGTTGACATGAAATGAGATGTGTGGAATATGAATGAGATGTGATTGTGGATCCTCATACTGATGACCCGGGGTGAGCACGACCCTAGGCTGCTACAAGGGTAGCGTGACCTTGGTACAATGTTATGTCAGGGGGGAGCACGACCCTAGGCTGCTAAAAGGGTAGCGTGACCTTGGCACAATGTTATGTCAGGGGTGAGCACGACCCTAGGCTTCTACAAGGGTAGCGTGACCTTGACATAGTGTTAATTATAAGATTTGTGATGATCGTGATTGTGATGTGATTGTGGTTCCTCACACATATGACCAGGGATGAGACGACCCTGGGTAAGTGATGCTACAGGGATGGAGTGCCCATGGCATAGTGTGGGATGAGTGAAGCAATTAATACGTATCACTTATGTCTAGAGTGGCATGACCTTGAGATGGTGT